CCTATATGTTAGTTTAAAAAAACAGAGCTCATGTACAAATAACAAAAACAGATGTCCCTGTTCCCCAGAGGCCAGCTCCAGTTCTTTGCAAGGTTCACTACTAGGCCTTACTCCAGCATGCGCTGTGCTGGCGATATATCACACATATAGCAAGAACCAGCGACATTAGGGATGTGGAACATTTCACACTGAAATCCACAGTAAGTCTAATCTCCTCCAATATCAAGTGTCAGTGCAAACCAGACCTCTCACATGTCCTCCTTTCAAGGGATGTCACTCATGTTAGTCTCAAAGTTATTCCCGTTCCACACATATTTGGTCTCCCCTCAATTTTATTGTTAAACTATTTACATCAGAAATAAAGACGCATGAAGCTGAAGTTATGGAAAGTCATTTATGCTAAATGAATTACTTCCACAGCATTTTAAGGTTCCTGCACAGACAACATCTGTATGCCCACGACCACAATCTTGTCACACCCTGTGTCACAGTCTGACAGTAAGGCATTGGCACATTGAGATGTCTGGAAAGACTGGGCTCAACTTGGAGCCATCCTTGCTCAATGTCACAGGCTAGCTGCTGGCCCTTTAAGGCAGCCAGGCTCAGCCTTGCCTGAGGTCTACCAGCTAGCCCCCAGTTAATGGTTAGTGACCCCCAGCTGCAAGGAATCAGAAAGGACTACTGAAACTGAGCAGGGAAGTCAGTGTAGGGAGAGAGACGCAGAGGAGGTGGGACTTACCTGTAGGGGGAAGCCTAGCAGTCTGGGTCTGGCTGTGACTAAAGAGCTGAGCCACAAGAGTAGAGCTAACTCTTGTGATAAACCCCTGGAGCAAGGGGCCAGCTGTCCCTGGAGACAGTCCTGGGGCTGGTGGTCTGGAATGGGAACTGGGAATAGAAGAGTCCCACAGAGAGCAGTACGCTCCTGTGGGAGAGCTCTTATGTAGGGCCTACCTGGAGCAGGGAGACCCGTAAATGGAGCTGCCAGTGTCCCCAGAGAGAGGTGGCAGTGGGGGAATCCTGTCAGACAAACCAGAGAAGCTCTGCAGGGGCCAGGAGAAGGGACCAAGAAGCAGAGGTCTTCAGAGGAGCCCCAGAAGAACAGTAAGCTTGGGAATTTGTTTTGGACTTTTTGTTACCCCAGAAGGGGAGTGAACTTTTATGTGACTTGGCCAGAGGGCCATGATGCTGAAGACCCGGGGGAAGGGGGGAGCTGTTGCAGGGCTGAGGAAGTGACCATCGGGAGTGCCAGAGATCAGGTCCCTTGCCAACACTGCACCTTGATACAAAGGGGCACTACTTGAAGGGAGGATGTGTCATTACACCTAGACATAGACCCCTTCTCCAACAAACTTAGCTTTGACTTCTGTTCTTTTATTCTCTTGCATTCTCTTTTATAGGTAACTAAATATCTATATTCCACGGATGAACTTACTTACAATGGACAAACTGTACTGTCTTTGCCTCTAGTTTTACTACACTATACAAAATTAAATCATCACTAAGTCTTGCCACATAATCATAATCATTATGGCAACTTGGCTTCTCTACGCTTCCAGCAGAATAGGGTGAATGTTTAATGTAACATGCTCAAAAAACCTCAACCTCTAAAATGCCCTTCAAAATGCTCACGAATACTATATATAATCTATTTGTTTCAAAAAAACAAGCCAGGACTCTCAAATAATTACTACATTTCAATTAGGAAGACTTCATAAAAGGACTTTAAAACCCACAAGAGCCAGTTGTGCTGTATTTTAATGTAGTCCATTTTTTAAAGTATTTAGGCTCCAAAGAGTGAGATCCACAAAGGGACTTAGGTGTTACAATGCTGAGCATCATAGTATCTAACTTTTAGGCACCTAGAAAATCACAGGAATGACACACCAATCCACAAAGCCTGAGTTAGGTGCCTCAGCTGCTCTACGATGAGGAGAGATAGGCACCTACGGCTGCAATCCACAAAAGCCAGCATGCTAGGTGGCTCCCGGCCTAAGCAAGCCAATGGGAGATGCTGACAACAGGGATGTGTGCTAAGCTCTGCCTCTCTCACTGGGGTAGGGACCCAAGTCTTGTTCAAGGAATGAGTTAGGTGCCTGCTTTGCTCCACACAAAACAGGGGTGGAGGTGATGCCCACCTTAAACTTTTCAGTCCAGTGGTTAGAGAACTCAGCTAGGATGTGTGAGACTCAAGTTCAATTCCTTCTTCTCTGCCAAAGGGGGAAGACAGGATTTGAACAGCACTTTCCCACCTTTCAGGAGTGCTCTAAAGACTGGGCTATACTGATGTGAGGAACCCTCACTCTCTCTCCTGTTGAAGCTAATCCACTGTGAATAAACAATGAAAGAGTTATGTGAAAGAGGGGGACTGGACCCAGGGTCTTCCACCTACTAGGCAGGTGTCCTAACCACTGGACTGAATCACTCTGTCACCTGCTTCCCCTGCCCTGAGGCTGTATTGCAGGGTCGGGTCGGGTCAGGTCAGGAGTGGGCTCTGTCCAGCAGGGGGCTAGTACTCACAGGGTACACCCTTCTACTTCCTGAGAGCCTGTTGCTCCAGCGGTTGGGTGGTCTTGGCTGCCAGGACTCAGCTCCCTGCCCATCTTGCTCTGCCACTGCACAGAGGAAGTGGACAGGGCTGCGCTGAATTCTGGCTCGAACTGTGCAAAGGGGGAGCAAAGTCCAGGAAAAGCCAAAAACTGGGTGAAAATCAGTAAAACCCAATATTGGCTTTTTCGAAACCTGGCCATTTTTTTTAGAGACAACAGATAAACACCAAAAAAGGTCTTATCTAGAGACGATTATGGAAGTGGTTGAAACTGATGAGTTTGCTAACCAGATGCAAGGAGCTCTGTGCATCCCCCATTCCTGTTCCTGGTTCTCTAATTTTAACCAAAATCAGTAGGATTTTGCTCATGGATGTCTAGAACATTCCCTGAATTTTTACAATTGATCAGCTGGGGCCTTTCAAAAGTTTTCACATTACAGACAGAGAAATGCCACTGAGTTGAGTGTAAGGCCTCACAAGTTTAACCAATAATCATAATACCTAAGTGAGCGAAGCAAGGTCTTACTCTCAACTCAGTGGCAGTCTGTTTGGCTTATAAGGAGCCCTAGTGTTGGAGGAAAGGGAGGGGGCACAGAGAACCCCTGGCATGGGGGTGGGAGGAGAATGAGGGCATTGGAATGGGGGAGGACATGGGGGGGCATACGGAGCCTCTGCCATATGGGCAGAGGGAGGAAGGGGGAGCACACAGAACCCCTGCTGTGGTGGGAAATGGGGAGTACACAAAGCCCCTGCCATGAGGGTGGGGAGAATGGAGGAAAATTATATGGGGGAAGGAAGAGACACAGAGCCCCTGGCATAGGGGGAAAGGGTATCTGAAGGGGCACACAGAGCCCCTAGCATATAGTGGAGGGAGAATGGGGGACAGAGTCATTGGCATCGGGGGGGAAGAGGGGAATGCGGGGTACATAAAGCCTTGGCATGTGGGGAGGAATAGAGGACCCTAGTATTCTGGTGGGAGGAATAGGGGGGGGCACAGAGCCCTGGCACAAGTAGAGGTTGGGGGAGTCACAGGGAGTCCCTGAAATAGAGGGGGACGGGAGAGTGGCCCACTGGGAGCTTGTGAGGTGGAATGGAGGGATGCAAGGAGCCCCTGATGGGTGCAATGAGCTCAGCCTACAGAAGCTACAGAGTGTGCAACCCTCTGCTATGTAGCTTTTTGTCCACCGCAACAGGACTGTATGAGCACACAGCTGGTAATAAAGGTAACAATAGGACTAACTCCTGTCGTCCTTACTCAGCCAAGACTCCCAGGTGGTCCAGTGGAATTTTGCCTGAATAAGGATTCAGGCTCAGAATCCAAGTACAGAACCAACTATGTAACAATAATCTTAAAAGACACCACGTTACATAAGCATCGGTTTGTGGACTCTCTCTTCTACCTATAAGTTTACATGTCCCCCAAAATCATGGTGTCTCCAAAAACACATCACTCAGGCTAATACTCAAGAAACTAATATTTCAAAGCTGAAAAACGGGGATTTCAAAAGGGTGTTAGTTTGGCTCAATGACAGAAGGCGATTTCACACACACACACACACACACACAAAAAAAAAGTGGTCCATGCTTCTTGAACTATCTTAGTAGAGGGTTTGTGCCTTAAGTCTCACTAGTTTTTTTTCCCCGACTTCTCCCAGTTCCTGCAATTTGATTTATCTTGCAAAGATTGTGTAAATGGTTATGCCTGTGCACACCTGGTAGTTTTTTTTCTGTCAGGAAAATGAAATAAAGGATAAATTGAAGCCATTTGAAATACGTTAAAAATACCAACACCTGTGTGGAACTGCACGGCTTGATTAAATAAGGCGCCGGATTTTTCCTCAAAAGCGTTTGGTTACAAGTCAGAGAGGGCCAGGGAAGGTAAAGCGGATACCTAAGGAACAAAGGCGGCTTCAGCTAACAAAGGCGGCCAGGTACGGCAACCAAAGCCTAGACAATGAACGCGGAGGGGGGCTGAGCAGGAACGGTTCTGCTCTCCAGCGTCCCACCCAGCCAGGGGCGCAGGGTCAGGGGCTGGCAAGCGGCCCCTGGGGCTAGGGGGGCGGTGCGGTGCAGTCGGCAGGGGCAGGCGCCGGGTACTTTCCAGGCGTCTTGTCACCCACACAAAGGGCTTCTCTCGGCAGCGCTCGGCTCCCTTCCCGCCCGGGCGTGCGGCTCGCTCGCTCGCTGACCTCCACGCCAGCGCGGAGCCTACCTCCCCCAGCCGGTGGGTGCCCCCGGGCGGCGGCAGCCCTTGCCCCGCTTGGCTGTGGGGGCTACACGCCGGCCGGCCGTGCGGCCAACGCCCCAGGGCCGCCAACTTTCCTGCGCGCTCCCCCAGCAGACGCTCCGCGGGCGGCGCGCTGAGCCCCCAGCACCGCCCCGCCGCGCTGCCCCCGCTGCCCGGCCGGACGCGGACACCCGCGGCTCCAGGGGGCGGGCGCTGGGCGATACTCACTGTCCGGGGGGCTGCAGGGGGCACCCGCCGCCTGCGCTGGGGGAGCGGGGTCCCTGGCGTTGCCTCTGGAGCGGACTGGGCGCGGTGGCGCGGCCCCTTGCTCCGCTCCTCGGCTGCAAACCACGCCCCGAGCCGGTGCAAGCCCGCACCCTCCCGCCGCCTCCAAGTGCAGGAAGGCGGAGCGCCCTGGGCCCGCACGCCCCCGAGCGAGGAGCCCAGCGCGCCTGGCGCCCGCCTTCCAAACAAACAGCACGTGGCTGGGCTGGGCCCGGAGTCCGGCTCCAGCCTGCCCCCGCCCGGCACCTGCCTGACGGCCACAAGCCGGCCCAGGCCAGGCGGCTCCTAGCCACGGGAGGAGGAAAAGAGGGGCCCTGGGGAAACGCGGGCCCTGCGACACCTGGGTCTGTCCTGGGTAGCTGGAGCAGGCAATGGTAGCCCGGACTCCTGGGTCCTATTAGCACCCTGCTACTGACAAGCTCTGTGACCTTGGCCAAATCGCTCTCACTGGTTGCAGGAGTTTTCTCACTTACAACCTATTCAGCCTGCTACATCACTTCACTGCCCTGGTGCCTATGGAGTAGTGAGAGCAGGGAGCTGGGGGCCAGGAAATAGGAGTTCTCCTCCCCTCTGCCATTCCCTGGCTATGTGAGGGTGGGGAAGGGACAACCTTTGCAATTCACTTTACCCATCCTTAAAAATGAGTAGTGCCTACCTACAGGAGTCCTGTAACACTGAATTAAACTGAGTTAAACTTCTCATTCTTAAGTGAACCGAGCTATGGAAGTACTAAATATTTTTAAACATCACAGTATCTGTTCAAAATGTACCAATTTCCCACTCTAGCCCTGTGAAAAACTCTTCTAATTCAGCTGGGTTGCAGTCACCAGCATTATGACCATCAAGTTACTCAATATAGCATATACCAAACTGAAGAGTAGTTGTTAATTCAGTTTAATTTCTTTTGGGCAGAGCATAGCATGAACAACAAATAATGTATCTAAACAATAGTTTTAGATATACATATTACAAAGCAGTGCAGTGAAAGAATATCATCAGAATGGGATTTGGTTTTAAAGTCAGTACTGGTAGTGATGACTTGGCTTTTGGAAATTTTTTTAAATCCATATAGCCAGTTCCTATCCATACTGATACAGTAGGTTTCTCCTTCACTTATTCTGCTAGGTTGGTATTTGGTGTTAAGGATCAAAGGCTCAATCCTGGTTCCTTTAGAGTAACTGGTAAAACAAAACAATTCTTGATTGATTTAAATAAATGGAAGTAGGATAAGGCCCCATATTTGAAGCCATTTCTCAAGGCCAAATCTAGCAGCTTTTACTTCTTACTCAGGGTAACCCTCATGGGTTTCAATAGCTTTTGTCCAAATCAGTGCTGCTAAACTTGGCCTCTTGATTTTTTTTTCCTTGTATTTTTAAGACCGAAGTGAATTCCACACCTTTGAGTGCCACTTTAGCTAAAGAATGTTACCGCTTGTGGGAGTGCCACGTACAGCCAGTTGTGACTTGGCAGCCCTGCCTTGGTAAACACCTAATATAATTCACTCTGCTCCTGTAACATTAGCTCTATCTATGGATTATTTCTTTATTATTTGTATAGCAGCACTGCTGTGCCTGACATCTTACAGACCGGGATGAAGACCAGGTCCCTGCCCCAAAGAGCTTTCAGCTTTCAGTCTAAAGTGATCACTCACTACATCCAGATCTTTTGAATAGAAAGATTAATATAGTGTTTGCCAAACCAATCCTTTGTTTAAAAGCTGGGTGAAATCTTGTTATGGGTTGAATTAAAACCCTTTTGAGATTGATAGGTATGAACTCACCCTTCAGTCATCATAACTGTAAGCCTAAACCCCCACCTAAGACAAAAAGTGTGCATGCATCTGCCCAGGAGATTTTGGCTGAGTGGTGTGTGTGTGTGTGTGTAAAGAAATCCCACAGAAACTGAGAAGGGAGAGGCAAGAAAGCCAAGCAGGAGCCTGCATACAATGGAAATTAGAAGCCAATACCTTTGGGGATCTGGGCTGGTACAACCCTGGAAAAAGCCAGAGAGAGCTCTTGGGTCTGGTATTGGCTAAAGGGCCTTGGGGCTGTCAGTTAAGAAACTGCAACGCCTTATGTTCTTGGCTCCTTCTGCATGCAAAGAGATACAGGACTGTACACGTTCCTTGCAAATACACAAGATTGCATCAAAGAGAACTTCATTTCAACTTCAAACTGGAACATCTATAGGCCTGGATTTTGACTACTCACTTGAGTTGGAAAGGGGCAACACCTTAGTCAATAGGTGGACCATGGCCCAAATCCAGACCACCAGATGCTTTAGAATGGACCCTGAAATCTTTTTTTTTACTTTAATTATTTTCTCTGGAGTCTGGACCTTGACAAAAAATAATTGATTTACCCCTGCTGTAGACCAATCTTGGGGTGGTAGAGTGTGTCTGTCTCTCTCTCTCTCTCACTCACACACACACATATGAATTCTTCAACTAGCTGCTTTAATCATATATTCTAGAAATCAAAATGACATCCCCAAATATATCAAAATGATTTAGCTGATTAGTAGCTTTTTTTCTTAAAGTATTTAGGTCATTGTCTTGCAATAAACACAGTACTATCCCAAACATCTTATACCAAGCTTGATTCTTCTTGGGTGGAGAGTACCAAACTGCATTATAGCCACGCTAAGGAACATCATCTAAACCTTAAATTGGCTATAACATGATTTGGACTGCTCTAAACCAGCGGTACCAAAACATGTTTTATGGCCTTGTCTATACTTGTAAATATTCTATCCATAACTCATCAGTGTAGCTTCACCCTTGGTAGCAGTAGTGGGAACTGTAGTGTACACTGAGCTCAAGCATTTCTACCATTTTGTTGTCCAGCCCTTAGAGCCACCAGTTCCTTGTCTACACTAAACTTTTCCCATTAACTTCTATGGGAGGAGGATCAGGTCCTGTAATTATTATAAATTATACAGTGCCATAAGTATACATGGCACTTTATAAAGCACAAAGACAAGTCTCTGGCCAGGATGTTTACAATCTAAATTAGTTAATGCACCTAATTAGTTTGTACTGTACTTTGAAGATACAAAGTGCTATAAATGCTAAGTATTATTAAACAGACACAATGCAAACAATTAAAGACGAGACATGATGGTGATACAGATAACCATAGATAAGCTGCTTTGCATCCACAGCTGTGGCCACCAGCTGAATTCTAGGTATTTAATATGTCATGGGCCTTCTCTTAATAAGCAGGTATCTTTCTTTCCTTATGCAGCCCTTGAGCTATGAGTACTATACTATACTAGCTAGGAGTATTTAAGATCCCTGTAGTCATGGGAAGTGCCACTTTGACAGCTGCATAGCTACTGCCAAATAGGCAAACAACAAGCCATTCTCATAGGCAATCTCCTGCAGCCTACCAAAAGGCAAACTATAGCTGTAAGTAGCAAATTCTACTCAGTACACAGCCCAAGCGTGTCCAAGAAGTGTGCGGGGGGAGGGGGGTCAAAAAGGGTGGGCTTTTCCAACCAGCTATGCCCTCCTCTGAAATGCTGTCTTCTGGCCTTTTGAATGAGCAGCAACTGATCCACATGACATCCTCACCCCTTTCACTACCTCCCAACTCAGCACAGAGCCAAAGAGGTGCAAGGGAGAGGCAAAAATAGATATGCACACTGAGATCCCTGAGTCTAGACTATGCTCTGGGCACTGAGGTAAGGGTGGGAACTTGGGAAAGTGTTTGGGAAAGAAACCAAGAGGGCAGAAAATCAGGAAGTGTTGGGAAGGGAAGAAGATAGCTCTGCCCCTGAATTCTTCTCTTCCTCTTGTGTTTAAACAGTAGTTGGCTCCTGGAGTTAACCAAACCTTGAATAATGGAGGCATTGATGGTTCACCTTTCCCCTATACCTCCTGTAGTCCAGCTGTGACACCCTGGACAATCTTCTTCTCCACTCAGCAAGTCACCTCCAATCATTTAGACTCAATGAATACTAGTTTTAAACAAACAAACAAACAAAGAGGGGTCAGATATTGTGCTGTTGCCCCCTTCTTCTCAAAGAAAGGCTGTGTTAAAACAGCAGACTACGTGGTAGCTTCTTAAATTTTGGGAGCCTCATCTGGAAAGGAAACTGCAACATTCATTAATGTGTGATGAAAGGATTTTTTTTAATTCCTCTGCAGATAACAGCTCCTTTCAAAATGATTTGCAATTAGTTGTGAAATAGAATCCTATAAAACAGGTCTTTGCATCAAAAGCCAATGCACATGTCCATTCCCCACTGACTTCAGTATACGGGAGAGTATAAATGTCTGTGTGGATCAGTTTGCAGGATTGGGACCTAAATCACTACAACAGTCAATGGCTCTCCATATATCCAGAGGTACCCGTTCTTCTTGTTCTCAGCTCTGGAGGCAGGGGAAAGCATGGTTCTGAAATTCTGGAATGCTATAACCTTAAAGGAAAATGGAAATGTTCTGACATCTAACTCTCCTGAGTCATACATGACAAATTGCTGTTGTTAGGAGATGTTTATTAAAAGAACATTAGATCAATGTAAATAAAGTCCATTCCCCTTTTTATCATTTCTGAGGCCAGTCCCCAACTTAGTGCAATCTCCCTTAGCCAGAAGATTTTTCTGGCTATACATCTTGCCACAACAGCCCACAATATTACAGGCTAAAACAGCAGGTTTGGGGATTTATGCCAAAACACTCTTTTTTTTTAGGTCTCAATCCAATGCTCACTGAGGTCGGTGGGAGTCTTTGCACTGACTTTAGTGGGCTTTGCCATAGGCCTTTATGCAGCAATAATGGACAGATTGTTTACCAAAGTTAGAGAGCCCAAATGAAGAGGAAAGAGAATTTTAATCCATACAGGTGTGTACATAATCTGCAGATTCTTCTCTCATGCATATGAGAGAGCTTGAAGGTAATCATCTTAACAACAATCCTTGTCCCACCACATTTAGTCAAAGCATTTGTATGATTTTTAACAGGGTCTTCAGAATTGATCCTGCAAAACATATAGTGCATGTGTACCTTTAAACACCCGAGTAGT